GAGACTCCAAATCCTGGTATTATGAGTCATACCTAATAATTCTCCACCTTGGCGAATATCCAACCCTTTAGGAGAAAATCTCCACCTTGCGAATATTCAATCCCTTAGGAGAAAAAATTTCCACCTTGCGAATATCCTGTCATTTAGGAGAAAATCTCCACTTTGCGAATATCCAGCCCCTTAGGAGAAATATCTCCACCTTGTGAATATCTTGTCCCTTAGGAGAAATCTCCACCTTGTGAATATGCAGCCCCTTAGAAGAAATATCTCCACATTGCGAATATTCAATCCCTTAGGAGAAAAAATCTCCACCTTGCGAATATCCCGCCCCTTAGGAGAAAATCTCCACCTTGCGAATATCCAGCCCCTTAGGAGAAAAATATCATGGAGTTTCTTATGCACAAATGTGGGTTGAAGCACTTTTCTTGTTCGCACCAGCACCTCAGCAAAACTGCTGTCCCGTGAGCGAAACCCTTCGCGAAATACCTCCCTGAAACCACTGTTCGCGAATAATCGCGTCTACTCGCTCGTCAGCACCCTACCGAACTCCACCTGTCCCAAACTCCACCTGCGACGAACTTGCAAACTTTGCTGGTCGAACACCACCAAAATCCTCTGTTTGCAAACGCTCCTGTTCGCGGTAACTGCACACGAGCTCCTGTTCGCGAACTCCACCTCGCCTAATGCCGCGAAAGTTCATGAACTGTCGTGCCTCAAAATCGCGACGCCACCTCAACCACGAACTCCCCGAAGCATAACTCGTTGAACTGTCGTAGCCTTTTATCCGAACTGCTTCGCACCTGTTCGTTCCCGCAAGCCCGTTCGCCTTGCGAACAATTTTGATCCTGTAACAAAAACTTTTCTGCAAACAAAATCTTCTGCAAAAATCCTTTCTTAGAACTCTTTTTTTTTGAAAAAGAATGAAAAGAGAAAAAAAATTTATTTTTTTTGAAAAAGAAAAATATTTATCCTTAATTAAAGAATTTTGCTTAATTAAATTTCTTTAATTAAGTTTTTCTTAATTAAATGCTTTTAACAAACATAATTTTAAATAAATTTCCTTTCCAATTACTCAGCAGCCGTAGGGATTGGATTCCTTTCTCAGCGGAGCCAAAAATGGGCCCGCTCCTTTCCTTTTCTGCCATTCTGCCAGATCTCGCGTGCGAGCCTTCCTTTCCA